GACACTCTTATTCATGCAGCATCACCATAACCTGCACCCGATCTGAGGCTTCTGCATCGTTGGGAGCAGGATTGCAAGCAACTGCGGTAAGTTTCATCACTTTATGGTGCTGTCGTCTCGGCTGATGGGTCGTTATAGCACCTTGATACCTTCTCTGGGGGTCGGGGGCGACATTCAGTTTCATGCAGACTGATTGTATCGGGTAAACCGTGACTTTGTTCGCTATTATGATCATTCTCCAGGTATGCAATTCGTCTCGCGTGCAACACCCTATGTTTAACAGTTTCCCGCGATAGGTGTTGGCAAAGTCAATTAACTGTGGGTGTAAACGGTCTGGTTACCATGTCTCCTCACATCCCTCACGCGATCTGCATAGTTATATCGAAACAAAAGGCGAGGGTGTTGTGGTCCGTCCATGGATCTGGATATCTCATTGGAACCGATTACGGGTTACTTGGCATAGTATATTTACATTGGGGTGGGAGCGATATTCGGTAACTTACAATCTCGCTCACTTACGATCTCGCTCATCTACTTTCCAGACACTTTGACTCGGGCATGAGGAAGATATTGTCATACAACTGGTCTTCAAGCATGCTCTCCGAATTCAAATGAAAGCTGAGCTCCCTGATTACGATAAATCTGGGGAGTCTATGACGCCATCTACGCCAGATAATGCACATGTGGCTGGATCTACTAATTAGACATGCGCCTATGAAACTCTTGGCTGGAAGGGCGCCTGTCTATATTGAGTCTGGCCGTTTACTGAGCGCCTCTGTCGGCCTATTATACTTTTCTTGCATCTTCTCTCGGGGTACATCGGAGATTTGAAAGGTTTCAGAATAGAAAATGCACAAGGTTAGCTCTGTTTTCTCTCATCAGTCGATCCTTTATCTCAATTCAGGCTAAATCATTAGCATCGTACAACCCTGACTCCGAGTTATTGTCGATGGGCAGTTGTTGAACAGAGCCTGAACTAGATGGACGCTCCACGAGTAGGCGAGCCCGCGAGCCAACGACACGTTGAGCTAGGGCTTTGTAAGCGCACATCTCAAATACGTCTACCGTCTCTAAACCTTTTCTCGATATTTCCAAAAACAAACAAGTCTTCAAACGTGACGCAGAAAAGATCGCGGGGTCCATGTCATCACATTCCCTCGCGAATCGACTCTCCACCGGTTTCAAGTACCGAGGCAGCAACGGAGGGACCATGAAAATCGAGTTTATACGTATACAGGTTATAGGATGTGTAGTTGCTAACTCATATAACATGTTTAACATTCAGCAGAACGAAGATTGGGATATCTATGGCAAATCGATACGAATGCGTGAGTTTTGTAGTTCGACAATCGTCGCATGGAGTCTCACCGGATGCCCTGGCTCACATCTTGCACAACGCTCTGAACCTCTCCTTCAACGTCTCCCAACGTCCGAGTCCCAGCGGGACCTCCGCATCACCACCCGCGACCTCTACTTCCGGTTGACTCGGAGTCCTTCCCCTTCGCCCCCGCCCCAAATGTGCTTGTGGTCCATGTGGCGAGTCAGGATGCTGGATATATCGCGCATATCGCTAACATCTATTTAGCAATGATCAACGAGCAGATAGCAGTGGCACTCACCGCATACACTTGAGTTGTATTGCACCGTGTCAATCGGATCGACAAATTGATCTTGATCATTGTATTGTACTGGTAGGATGAGTGTTTCGCGAGTGAAGCTTTGAAGTTCGGTCTTTTTGGACAGTACTAAGTACCGTCACAGTTGTGACCATGTGACATTCTGTTACAATCAGTGCATCGTCTCGCGCTTACCATCGTCTCGCGTGCATTTCGTATCGATTACATTGATCACACAGAGAAAGTTCGAAGTTCCGGTAAGTACAGTTCAATCATATCTTGCTCAAAATTCTCATTCTGTTGTGATTTAGCGTGTTTCTTGAAAGTGTTTTTGTCGACGTGCACTGGCAGGGCATCGTTATACGTACGCACGAACTTCGACTACATTGTATGTGCTCCCGTTCTTATTGTTCATTAACAACTTATCCACTATCTATTAGTGTGCCCATGCCTGGTAGAGACCATACTTGCGTCTGCCAAACGATTACGACAAGGCTATTGACCTATACTCTACGGCGATTGACCTGAATTCTACATTCGATACCTTAGCAAATCGCAGTAAGGCAAAGTTGGGGGAAATGCTATGGGAGGATGCGCTCCTCGACATGCAAAAGGTGCGATGACATCTACGATTTCATACCCCATGTTGACTTCGGCGATGCATAGGTCACTGGACTCAATCCGTCGTCTCATATTGGATACCAGTTGACACACACAGTGCTGCATGGCGCGCAACGCTACGATGAAGCCATCGAAGCCTTCACAATCATGTTGTCGAAGTTGGACGATGCTCCTGAAGCTTAGATATGAGGTAAGCCATAGAACATTCCTGCATCGTCTCGAAACGCTTATCTCGTTCTGTAGATCTGCGTCAGCAGTACGTCTGTCCATCGGAAGCATTCGAAGAGCAGTTTGGATTGAACTCAACAATACTCCCTTCGTCTGCTCAACACCTCTACGGGCCTTTTGTGCGACTGAGCAGCATAGCTGAACCCCTTCAAAACAAATCCAGAGTACAAGGAGTTTTTGTCATTCACAACGAACCGCTCGGATCTCCAAATGGAACGCATCAAGGAAGTGGTGGCGACCAGGATCATACCTTATCGCCAAGAAGTGTAGCCAACTCGACAACTCGCGTTTCTGGGATGGTTCATTCCCGGGCGTCAACACAAACGCTGCTACGCTGGGCGGGTTGGATGGTTCGAAGGGCCCAAAGTTCAAGGGTACAGGACGGCGAAAAGATGCATTTTGAACCCGGTGATTGGGGCGATGGAAGTTTCGACGGGAGTGAGAGTGCACTTCTGAAGACCCTCTTAGGGGATGCTCGGGCTGCCTACTAAGTTGCATTAGTTGCGCGATGAATTGGCACCTGCCGAGTATATCCGACTGGTTTGTTTGTGATACTGATTGTGAATAATTCTTATGTTTTAACCTTCAATTGCTTACTATATATTGTATCCTCGCTTTTGTTCTGGGTCTCTTGCCTTTATTTCAGTCCGATATTTCGAGTGTTTCAACTAGTGTTTTTTGACCATGCGTACGGTATACTGTGATGCCCCTTGTACGAATCTCCTCGTGGAGATGACATCATAAGCTTTGATTACTTCAATTCGTGTTATGAATGGGATACGCGTAGCTTTGGCATCGGCGAACTGTGAAAAATAGCCTTGTAATTTACAACTTGAATTGGGAAGTGTGAGAACGTTCAACCAGGTTTACTGAGGTACCCTGCCATCTCTTCCCGGCTGTAATGGCCCAACAACAATACATTATTGCAAACTCTCCTGCGAGTACATATTTGATGAACATTGCCAAACCCACTTTCCGTGATATAGTCTTAAATACCCTTCTAACTGAAAGCTCGAATGAGGGAAATGACAATGCTCGACAAGGCGAATACACCTACACTATCATCCCTTACCGGCCATGGTGTTACAAAGTCGTGACCTTGTCTCGGAATACTAAAAGTCGTCTAGGTTCGCAGACTTACATAGCTATATAGCAATGTTACAAAATTTTTATACTATAGATGCCCATACCTAGCAGGAGCAAAATTATATCGTTCTATAAGTCCCACGGGTACAATATCGAGGACTCCTCAATTCACTGATGCATACCCATTCATACCTCCGCTTGCTCATTTTCGTACTCTTTCGCGCTACATCTACTCTACCTTCTCGGACGCGACGATTCTACCTTCGGACTCCGTTTTTCGCATTTAATTTCGGCCTAGCCATCAATAAGGACCCTTACTATTCTAAAGTATAAGTAGCCCATGTACAGTCCATACTGACAGGCAATTATACCCAGTCTCGAAGTCTCACTCTCGCATTCATTGATATAACTATAACTATCGTCTAAAAACGTCTCAAAATCATCACATTCCTTATTGTCTAACGTTCGCTGATAGCTATCTACTCTTTAGCGCTCGTATATCCTCCAGCGGTCTCCACACCCCTTCGCACTCGCGAGTCGTACGCCGACTTACAGTGCTGTGATGTCCTAAATACACGGGAGAAAGCCAATAAGCATGCATTCCGTCGTTAACCTGGCACATTTGTAGGACGCAATCTTACTGTTACTTTTAGCGAGTTACAACCTGTCGGTGCGACCTAGAGGTCGCACCATAGACAGGGCTTCGTAGAGGCATGAAGGAGCCTTGTTTCACCTTTGACAAGGGCTTCCAGTCTTGGATTCTGAATTGTTTTATCCTGGGACTCCAATGACTTCTTAAAAAGATTTGTACCTCCAATATATTCTTCCCACATCCTTCATGGACAAGTTCATTTACCAGGCGCAACCAATCTGCCAAGCCAATATTTAAACTTCCAAGGTTCTTCTGACATACCACATGCACTAGGCGCATCCAAACTGTCAAACCGATAGAACTATTTTCACGCAAGCTGTGTTTAGCGTACCCTTTACCTCAGTGATATTAGTTAAATTTCCACAGTGCAAAGCTCGTATCACCTCGCACAGATTATGCGTTTCCTCTCGAGTCGTCGTCGTCCTTACTGCTTTGGCATACAGCTCATTGCAACAGCGTTGCCACAAGAACATCGATAGGCTAGTCAAGGAGTGGCATAACTGGATGGCGAGTCGTGTTTCTGCCACTTTCACATTAGCATTAAGTTGTCGATGCAGAATATGAGTATGATACGCTGTTCGTTGCTGACTTGATCGATGTAGTTACTTCTGGCGTTTGGATAAATTTCACTGGTGCATGCGCAATGGCGCCAGCACCAGTTAGACTATTCCTAAACGATTTGGACTATTTGAAGATGCGGCATAACGTATGAACAATTTGATTTTATGTAAATAAACGCCCATCAAAAAGCTTTTCTTTCAACTCGAAAAGCTGAAGTTTTGAACTACGACTTCCGGATGCACCGTCTCCAAAATGCACGCTCCATTGCTATCAGTGCACTCACTTGCAGAAGACGAGCATTTGGCGTTTCTGCGGGTGTTTTAAATGCCAACTCGGACGCGGACTCAAACCAAAGCCAGGGCCAGAGTCAAATCGTGGACTTGGGAAAGGATAAAAGCCGAAGTGGAGAGATGGTGAATGAGCAGGGAAAACAGAGTGGGCATGGACAAGGACAAGAATACACTTTTGGGAAACTCTCGCGCTCTTTGCGTAGCCAGCGTGACTCCTCGCGCAGCAATTCGTCCGTTCAGAACCCTCATCATGACATTCCAGCGGCAGGTGTTTCAAAGAGAAGAAAAAAGGAAAAGCATTCAAAGAAAAAGAAGGTTGGAAGTGCTGGTGCACGACCTGCTGTAGAATCAGCGCGTGCTTCTCTTGCAGGGTCCGACGCGAAGCGTGCGGGGTTACTGAAGCTACTGTTTGAAGGTTCTGGGGAAACTAATCATGCGGCGAAGGATGGTTGGACGACGGGGTGGGGCGAGGACGGTGCGTTTTCCATGAACTCACTGTAGTTCTGCTTTTCATTTAGCTTTGGTCTATCATGTGAAGCGCTTCGACCGGGGGAGAATAAGAATCCTGGATTACAGGGGTCTTTCAGTGGCGATGGACGACCAAGTAAGATCAAGTCCACGGGACGTGGGCAACCGCCGCATGTACGCCATCCCCTACCTTATACCCGTCGCGTAGAGGGTCTTTTCGACGACGCGCGAGATCTGAATGCTCCTTCATCAAGTGGACCGAGCTCTATCAATAACGTACTGGAAGGTTCTTGTTATTTAACATTCGCAAGGTTTTGAATGTGGTTCTGACACATGGATCGGCAGATATCGACCCACCCTCAGAACACAAGCCTATTGCGCGGCTTGCGCATGGACTTGATAGGGTGTTATTCAAGTGTGTCTTTCTGCCTTGTGGATTGTGAATGCCAATTTAACTCTATTTCGTAGCCCCGGCGTCCATTGGCTCCAAGATCCACGCTCACGTGTATATAATTTCACGCCTTGGCTTGAGAGCATACCCAAAGTCACAGATTTTGCGTTCGAGCGCGTTACTGGGTTCATACGGAGTTCTCAGGATGATGTACGTTTGATCCTTGCTTTTTCTGTCTACAAAATCTTAGGACACTCACTCCATAGGACCTTCATACCCTCGCCAAAATACACTCCCGACCATACGTTGGCTCCACATCCTCACTCACCGGTCTGCTCAGCCACATTTACTTCCTCATCTCTGGTGGAAAGGAAGTAGATACGAGTGTTTTGAGCGGTGCTTTTGCGCATGAGGTGGGTTATTATCTATAGTTCCTGAGGCCAATTTTTGGGGCATGAATTTCATCATTCTCTTCTAAATCCGTGCGTTGCGCAGTGCGGTTCAACGTGCTAAATATCGAGCTCTTGTCATGTGGCGTATGCTCTTATGCCTTCACGTGCGGTATACACTCGCTTCTTGATCATTACATCTGACTGCACGTTCCTGGATGCGTCTATATACCTCCCGTTCTGCTTATACAGATTTTGCAATACTTGCTGACATATCTATCCACAGCCAACGAACTTTACTCCAGGCCAGCGCATGCCCTCATCAATCGTGTTACGATACAAAGATGGTGTATGGGCGATCGATTCCAACAAAGATGGTGAGGATGACAGCCAGAAGAATGTATTGACCTGGATGGTGCGTCGCGCAAGTGCATTTGATTTTATCTTCGTTTGTTCTTTCTCACTTTTCATTTTGAAATGCGCGTTATGAATTTTGATTCGTGCATCACGTAACTAATGCATGCGTTCGCGTTACAGGGCACTCTTCTCGAAAAATTCGTGACAGTTCCGGAACCTGAGTTCAAGACTTTCCTGCGCTCCTCGCCCGCCCTAGCGGAAGGTGAGGAGGATAAAAGGAGGGAGGCATATCGGTATGCGAAGGTGCGTTTTTTTCTTACGCTTTTTCGCGCGTGGGTTTCTGACAATGTCCGTGTTGTATGGGTGTGGTTGGCGATGGGCAACTTGCTGACTGATATGATGGGATCAGAGTGACCGCTTTTTAATGCGCTCCCAACTAGATTGTGTGGACCCGCGCTTACCAGGAACTGGTGTTTTTGATGTCAAGACCCGTGCGGCGGTCCCGATCCGACTGGATTTGCTGAATTTCGAGGTGCGCATTTTTTTGTTTGGGTCGGATTGCCATCCATTATCGTAATTCTATCGAAGCACATCATTTATATATCAATGGCTCAGTGTTTTTGCATCCATACTCTGAACTGGGACTGTGGCTAACGGATTTCGTTGAATGTAGGAGAACTCTGGTTACCTCATTCGTACGCTTCACGGACCACTGGAGAGCTTCGAGAAAGAATATTACGATTTAATTCGAAGTGCATTTCTGAAGTACAGGTGTGTTGGCGCTCCACCCCTTTTGCTTTCTCTCGTCTTGGCCTAACACCATCCCATACCAGCTTCCAAGCTCGTATCGGCAATATGGATGGCGTATTTGTTGCTTACCATAACACGGCCCGCGTTTTCGGTTTCCAGTACATCTCGCTCGAGGAGATGGATGCACGCTTGTTCGGACAAGATGTGAAACCTGCGGGTGTTGTCAACAGCGATAGTGCACCTACCAGAGGCACGCGCGTATTTGAGAAGTGTGTGAAGCTGCTGGAAGTAGTGATGGATGAGATTGTTGGAGTATTTGGGGAGAGGGTGAGTCCACTTCTTTGTCTTCTCCAACTTTTTATTGACTCGTGTGATCCTGGTTAGAGCGTGAAATGCACTTTCGAGACACGGGAGCGCTCGTCGAAGATGAATATATGGGTGGAACCTGTCGAGTGGGACGCTGAGAAAGAAGGGAAGGGAAACAACGTAGCAGAGTTGAAGGAGGTAGAGGATGAAACGAAGGTTGCGGAGCAAGGGAAAGATGGCGAGAAGGATGGGGACCGAGTGAAGACAGAGGAGCCCCCAATCGTTCAGATCGACGTAGAGGTGCAGAACTTTGTCACTGGCCAGCCTGTATGGGGCTCAAAAGCGATTGGTGTCACGCCTAACGATAACTGTGCGTCGTCACATTTTTCTTCCAGTTTCGTTATCATGCGTGTTAATGTTTCGGTGTTACAGGGATTCTCCATTGGACCGTCTCGCATAGCTCGCTAGAAACCTCCAGAATTCGGGCCAACCTCGCATCTGCGAAAGATAGGCAGTTCCGTGCGTGGAATTTCCCAGCAAATATCAGCGGACCGGAGGAGATGGAGACATGGTGGAATGCGCTGGATTTTGGAAGACGGAAGACTGCTGTCTCTTCTTCAGGCGAGGGTGAGGAAATAACACTAAGCAGGCTACAGGACTTGGTGGCAGGTGTCGAGAGCCCTGTCGTAACGGTCGAGGAGAACGGTTTGGTAGAGGAGGAAGGACCTAAAGCCAATGAGAATGGCGTGCCGTCGTTCAATCGCAAGCTCTTCCGACCGGCGTCGACAAGTATTGAGATATTGCGCCAGCTATCGAGAGACGGGAGGGAAGAGACGTTGAGGGCGGAGGCCGAGGAGGAGGCAATGGGAAGGGAGAAAATTGTCTGGGGTCTTGTGGGGAATGGAGGTATTGTGAACAGTGAAACCAAGGAAGTGCCTGAGGATGGCAGCTCAGTATCGACCATTACTCAGTCTTCAGAGATGGGGACGGTCGACGCGGTGGAACAAACCAGCCAGGAGAAAGAGTAAAATAACGAATCTTCATATCACAGCGATGCCGCCGAGTGGTTAGCGACCTTACTTTCTTTTTAAAAGTCCATGACACGGTGTCCAGCACACTGTGAGTGTATGAACCCGTACCTCCAACTAATCATTGCATTGTTATTTAGCGCTCAGTACTCAGGACATGCACGCTATATTTTTGTGCGATTTACATTTAGGTCGATATCGTACGTAGCATATACGTACCACACTTAGTAGGACTAATCCTTAGGTTGTCAGGCGTTCCAGAGTGCGACATCATCTTGGTTAGGTTTTTTCTTGAATACAAGTGAAGATAAATTGCATCAGCAAGGTTCAGATAAAACAACGCGAAGGGCCGCTCGCGGCAGAGCCCGCTATGATAGGTCGGATTGAGCGCAAGTGAATGTACTAAAATTGAAAGATGCATCGATGAGGTCCAAACGGCCATGGTACCACAAAAGCCACTGCTGCCGTAGCAGGAATTAACCCTTACGACACATAGTAACGCGTTGCACGGTCCGACCAGAGAACCGGTAAGAAGATATTGACATGCAGTACGTATCATGATGCTTGCGTATGAAACCGCTGCGAGTACGATTCCCGAGTCCGAAGCAATCTCGGCAATATGGCTCACTGCATCATACCGTCACGTATAGGAAGGAGCATTAATCCCCGCACACATTATGGGAATATCGGTAGCTCACCGGTTGACTGATACGCGGCCCGTCCTTGTGGTAAGTGGCTCTTCATGCAGTTATAAGGTCCCCTCTGTGCGTTGGGTGTCTGCCCACACACCACTCTAACCATGTTTCCTTCAGTTGACGGTCGCCTTGCTATCCTCGCCGTCTTACCTGCTTCCTTTGTTGTCATCACAGCCCTCAAGAGGTTCATTAGGAACAGACAGAACAAACTTCCCCCCGGCCCGGTGCCGCTCCCACTGTTGGGAAACGTCTTTTCTGTCGATACCAAGGCGCCATGGTTAACTTATACAGAATGGGCTGCTGCTTATGGTACGTGGTCAGATAGTACCACGGTGCATATGTGGTGCAAATCATTACATCAGGAGACTTGTTTTTCGTGCGACTTCTGGGCCAGGAAGTCGTGGTGATCAATTCTCAGCACGTTGCAGAAGCCTTGTTGGACAAGCGCTCTCGCATTTACTCCGATCGACCATACTTAGCCACAGTCGATCCGTGCGTTTCTTCTAACATTCTTCTATTTAATGATTATAAAATCCAGGCAGATTTGGTTGGTCGGTCGTCTTTGCATTCACAGGCTATGGTGACGAATGGCGTCTTTGCCGACGACTTTTCCATCAAACTTTCCGTCCCGACTCTTCGCTCAAGTTTCGTCCAATGCAGATCAATCAGGCCCGTAGGATGATTGCCAATCTAATTGATGACCCTCAGCATTATCATTCCCACTTCGCAACGTCAGTCGATGTGTTTGTAAGCACCGAAAGATTATCAACCTGTTTATAGGTTCTCGTCATCAGTTGCGATGTCAGTGACATACGGCTACCAAACTAATCATCGTGATGATCCCCTGGTTCGAATCGCAGAAAATGCACTGGCTATTGGCCTTGCAGCGCTGACCCCGGAGAGAGCAGCCCTTCTGAAGGCCTTCCCCTTTTGTACGCTCAACATTCATTCTCATGGAAAGAGTTGACATTCTGTACCGTCATGTAGTGCTGAGGTTACCTGACTGGTGTTGGGGATCCTCAATCAAACGCGATGCTCGAACTTCGACCAATCACATGAGAGAAATGACTGACGTACCGTTTCGACATGCGCAGGACCATATGGTAGGCATCTTTTCTAATCCAGTTCGGTCCTAGATGTTGACCATGTCTCGCTAAGGCCGAAAATTTGTCCCTCGGCCAGGTTTCAATGGTATCAGACAATTTGCATCGAATGGAGAAGATAAATCAGGCGTCAAGACTCATCTTCGAGACTGCCTTAAAAAAAGCAGCTGTTAGTGCTATTGTAGGTTGGTCACCTTTTTACAAGGGATGTGGTGCTCTTTAATATATGTCTATGCAGGTTCATATGAGACGGTCAGCAGATGTCCGAATCATATTGTCTGCTGCTCAACCTCTTGTCAGACCACGTCGACCTTGATGACTTTTGCTCTCGCCATGGTATTGTATCCAGATGTTCAGAGACACGCACAAGCGGAGATCGACTCCGTGGTTGGGCGGGATCGCTTACCTACCTTTGAAGACAGAACGTCACTGCCATATATTGAATCAGTTCTACGTGAGACTTTGCGATGGCAGCCTGTCGCACCCCTTGGTAATCTTTCTTGCTGTGTTATTTCGCCTTTGCTGAAGGTGTTTTTGTAGGCGTCCCACATGTCACTACAAGTGATGATACGTATGATGGTTATTTTATACCGAAAGGTCTGTTATTCTTATTCATCGAGTACATCATTTGTAATATCGTACATCAGGAACAATTGTCATGTGCAACGTATGGTCAGGCAGATCCTCTCTAGTTTTCCAAATACTGATGTTATATTGATATTGCAGGGGCATTTCACGGGATGAAAAGCGGTACCCCGAAGCATCTCGTTTTATGCCGGAGAGATTCCTAGATGTCAATGGCGGGTTAACGGATGATAACCCTGCTGGATATGTTTTTGGCTTTGGCCGGCGTGCATGCCCAGGTGGGCTGAGATATTTCATCACCGTATAGAGCTGATTCATTCTTTGATCAGGCCGATATGCTGCTGATGCCTCTTTATGGTCCGCTGTCGTTACTATGTTGGCCACGGTGGAGTTTTCTTCTGCCAAAGATGACCAGGGTAAAGTGATCGAATTCACCCCCCAATTCACGACAGGAATCACTTGGTACTTGGTTTTTCTGTATCATTCCATCTTCCCGTCACTAATAGTTTCATCGCTTTAGTGCCCCTATGGTCTTCCCTTGCAATATCTCATCACGCTCTCGTACCCATTCGGAACTTGTGAATGTTTTCTGAACAGAAGTATGAAGTGTTATCAGGTGAATGGGTTGTATATGTATATCTTCCTTTCTTGGGCCCACGCCGCCAATCTGTCCAACATTTGACAATCCCTTGTTTGACCCTTTTCGTTAGCTGCACGTGGTATGTACGATTTGAAATATGTGGAATGTAGCATGAACTTCAACCACCCGCTTGCGCGCGCACGAGTCGCAACTGAGATTTATCAGGTATAATCTCGTAGGGCAGACTCAATAAAAGGAAGACATCAATGTTTCACTCATTAGTGGACGTCATGGTACAGTGCAATCGGGGATTGATCAGACTTATTCCAATCCGACTACGTCGCCTGCAAGGAAACCGTATCATCATTACTATCAATATCAACATATAGTAAGTAACACACAGAACAGCAAAAAAAAGATAATGACAGTATGCAGATCAAAAGTATATCCTAGCCAAAGCAACACGAGAAGTGCAGCACAACAAGGTAGATACAACACAACAGCCTCGGAAGAAATAACAAGAATAGAGTAAAAAAAAGACATAAATGAAACAAAGGAGATAAACACGCCTCCTGGATGCATCTAAAACCCTGTAAACGATCGTAACGCGCCAAACACCCTCCCCGCTAACCCCACCCCCTGAGGTCCAGCACTAGGATCAGCAGGTGGAGGATCAATCTCGTACCCACCTTCTAATACTTCCATCGTCCTATCCAAACCCATCTCGTTCGCCTTCTTATCCCCAAAAAACTGCACGAGAAATCGATGTCCAGCAGAAGACACCCGGTACTTAATGACTTTACTTTACATAACACGAGTTTTCCTAGGGTGCTGCCTAGATCAGGGACGATGAGGAGGAAGGCTTTGTCGATGAGCTGTAGTGGGTTCGTGGCGAAATCGTGGAGACGGTCGGGGGTGAGTTGTCTGTGGGGACGACGGACGAGGGCGGGGGCGATGGGTTCTAGAGACGAAGGGATGTCGCTTTCTTTTGAGAAATCTGGGGCGAGGTCCGTCATCGTACAGGCTTCGCGGAAATCTCGGGTTTTGGCCAGTGGGAAGAGAGTAGGGGGCATGGTGGCATCAAAGTCGAAGTTGCGGTGGCTATTAGGCTCGAAGTGCGGGTGGGTGCTACTGGCGCCGTCGCTGCTCCCGCTGTTGGGGTCAGCTTTGGTAAGAATTTCGTGAAAGGTCGTGGAGTAGTAAGATCCCATTGGTGGATTCGTATCGGGGAGGCATAGTAAGAAATCGACCGTTGGCAATGGGCATGCCTCATGGGAAATAGTAAGAGTGTGTAGTGTAGCGTCTCTCTGACAATCTTTTGTCCTTTACCATATGATGGAATTTTAAATATGTGAACATTGAGGTATTTAGTAAGGTAGTGTATACGATGTGAAGCTGTAAGCTAGGGAAATAAGAAAAACTTCAAGATGCAGTGGAATCAAGAAAGAGTGTGAAGCCCACACCAATACTAGTCACTAGTAGCGGTAACTGACAAGGAGGATTGATCAGAGGTAACAGAGGGAGGGGATGTCGACCGCAAGCACGATGGGGATCTGGCACTGGATCTTAGTGTGGACGTGCTGCCCGGTCTTGATGCGTTGTTCTGAAAAAAAAATCAACCGGCGATGATAGCCTGCAGGTCCCAAGGAATGGGAGTGGGATTGGTGTGAAGGGGTTATGGACCCTCCGTGTTTTGAATAGGTGCTCGCCATCGTGGTCCAAGGCGGAAAGAGATCATCCACGTTCAATCGCATTCACTGGTGAAAACTGTCAGAGTACCGTCACGGTAAAACACGAAGTTATAGCTAACTTTGTTCGTGCGAAAAATTGACGCTGTGGTACCATTACAGCCGCTTCCAATACTCCAACACCCGAAATCTTTGATCGATATCCTGAAGTTATGGTAAGTACTGTTTAGCAAGCAGCCCGTGCATGCTCATTAACGTTTCAACTTTCCCAGCGATTTGAGATGCTAATTGACATTTATCTCCAAGTCTTTCGTTGGTAGAGAGATGTGTTCATATCCGGGAATGTTCAACGTTCAACGTTGCAACCCTTATCGAATGATTCTCAGGCTGTAGAGATATTGATCGCCAAACAGACGGAAGATGGCTTGTGTAGGAAACAATCGACCGTCCGAACTCTGTCGATCAGTAGTACAGCTGAGTTCTTTCATTCAATCTGTCTGGTACGCCGGTGGTGATTTCGGGATGTCGGTGCTTCTAAGGAGTTATGTACCTTCATGGCAGGCAGTGCATAATACGACTCCCTCCGGAATGCTGAGTGTAAAGAGTGGAGACACCGTGACGACCTTGAAGTTTGACGAGAAGCAATGTCTATATGGCGATTGGAGATATCACCGACTTGCATAATCAACGGCCATTTTTTACTTCCCCGTGGTTATAAGGACAATTGGATCATATGCGGTCTATTAACTCACTGCTCCAATCATGGCCCCTGCAGTTGATGGTCGCCTTGCTGTCCTTGCTAGCATTCCTCTTTCTTTTTTTGCCGTCATGGCACTTGGGCGACTTATCAAGAAGAAGCGACAGAATAATCTTCCTCTTCCTCCTGGCCCAGTGCCGCTCCCACTGTTAGGGAACGTCTTATCTGTTGACGCTCAGGAACCTTGGCTGACTTACACCAAATGGGGTGCTGCGTATGGTACGTGAACAGATTGTATATGGCATATGTGTGATCAACCATTATATCAGGGGACTTGGTCTTCGTGCGAAGCCTAGACGAGAGAATGGTCGTGGTCAATTCTCAGCACATTGCAGAAGCCTTATTGGACAAGCGTTCCCGGATCTACTCCGATCGACCATACCTAGCCACACTCGAGCCGTGCGTTCTTTACTATCCTTCTATCCACTCAGACTGAGGTTCTTGCAGATATGGCCTGTCGATCAACTTTGCATTCTTAGGCTATCGCGATGAATGGCGCCTCTGCCGGCGACTCTTCCACCAAACTTTCCGTCCCGAGTCTGCTGTCAAATTTCGGCCAATGCAGATCAGGCGGGCTCGTGAGATGGTCGTCAACCTAGTCGATGACCCTCAACATTATTATGACCACTTCGCAACGTCAGCAAATGATTTCTAAAAATTGAACGATTATTTACATGTTCACAGATTCTCGTTATCTGTTGTGATGTCAGCTGTATACGACTATGACATCGGCGCTCGTGATGATCCTGTGGTGCAGATTGTCGTAAGGGCACTGATTCCGGGCTCGGCCGTGTTGACCCCAGAGAGAGCATTGATGCTCAAGACGTTTCCCTTCTGTGAGCTTGACTCACCTGAAATGAGAAAGCGCTAACATGGCATGCACTTTTGTGGGATGTAGTACTCAAGTTACCTGACTGGTGCTGGGGATCCTCGATCAAACGTAGTGCTCGAGTTTCGACCAAGAACGTGAATGAAATGGCCGACGTGCCATTTCGATATGTGCAACAGCACATGGTGAGTATTTGTTTTGTTTATCTTAGTTCCAGAAATCGATTTGACATTTCGCAAAGGCTGACAGCTCGTTCCTTGCTCGATCTTCGATGGTCGCAGAGAATTTGCGACGGATGGAGACGCAAGAGGGGGCGCCCAAACCTGAATTCGAGGATGCTTTGAAGAAAGCCGCTACAACTGCTATTATGGGTACGTAAGCTTTTCACAAGCAATGTTGTACTCTCGACATAAACTGATATCACACAGCTTCATATGAGACGGTAAGTGAGTAAGTCCATCACGTCGTCCGCTCCTTATCCTCGTTGCAGACTTCAGCATTTTTGATGATTTTTATTTTGGCCATGGTATTATATCCGGACATTCAGAAACGTGCACAAGCGGAAATCGACTCAGTGGTTGGAAGAGGTCGACTGCCAACATTCGAGGACAGAGCATCGCTACCCTACATTGAGGCAGTTGTACGGGAGACTTTCCGATGGCAGCCCGTTGCACCCCTTGGTATTCTTCTTGCCAAATGGTTTGGCCTGCACTGAAGATATCATAGGCGTACCACATGCTACCTCAAGTGATGACGTATACAATGGTTATTTCATTCCGAAAGGTCCGCAGTACTGTTTTTGTCTGATCCATACAATGATCATTCGTAATACTGTACATCAGGCACAATCGTCACGTACAACATATGGTATGATATGATGCTCCCAGCTTTCGTGACACTGACTTGATTGTAGGGGCATTACGCGGGATGAAAAGCGTTATCCTAACGCATCTCGTTTTATACCAGAGAGGTTCATCGACAGCGATGGCGTGTTGATAGCTGATGACCCTACACAATACGTTTTTGGCTTTGGCCGGCGTATATGTCCAGGTCAAATCACTTTAATCGTATAAAAGATTCGCTGACAGACAGACTTTAATCAGGGCGGTATACTGCTGATGCCTCTGCGTGGTCTGCCGTTGTGACTATGTTGGCCACGTTGGATATATCTTCTGCCAAAGATGACCAGGGCAAAGTGGTCAGCTTTACTCCCACGTTTATCACGGGAGTGGCTCGGTACTTGACTTCTTCGTATCATTCTTTCTCTCGTCACTAACAGTTTCATTGCTTCAGCCATCCTGCGGTCTTCCCTTGCAGTATTTTGGCACGATCTCACATTCATTCAGGCCTTGTGAACAGTTGGCGAACCGAGTTTTGAAATATGGGATGACGACAGTTTCCGCCATCCATAGTCTGATTAGTGGGGTACTAGAAGAGTGGTCAATCAAATATGTGTTATCGACACCGCCGCCGTTTAGATCCTCACGCAAAGTCACAATCACCATCAGTGCATCAACAATACGCTTCATTGTATCATACTGAAGTCCTGAGATTACTGTTTTTTCTCGGTTAATCGGTATCATGTGTGTGGTGTACAAATAAAATTTTCTTTTGTGACCATGAGTGTCGCCGCCGCCGTGTCGGGCATACGATCGACAAACCTGGGAACACGTGTGAATGTCAGAGATCTGGCCAGTCTGGGGCCAAAGTCTGGGGCGGAGTCTGGGGCCAGAGTCTGGGGCGTTCGGCAAACACGGCTGACCCGGGCTGAGTTTGAATTGTTTTTGTCACGTGTTTGCTTTGTGACAATTCCAAAGCCGCCCGCCATCATCGTGCCTCCTGCCAGTACTAGTGTGCCCGTCGTAGATGGCTAGCGGCTGCCGACACACCCGCCAATCTACTCACCACATGCAGTTAGCATGCTATGTTCGTGCTTCTCCGCACCAAAACCAGTCAAAATTATGATCGTCAATCCACTGTCCCAACACTTGTGCTTCCTCAACATGTCTTGATTCTGCTACCAGTGTCTGCCGCACCTTCGTTGCTGTGTTTTCTGCTTCCCATTTTCGATCTCCTCCACTGTCTACTCTCAACATGTTTTCGATCTGCTCTGCTGTCTACATCCTTTCTGCTCGGCTCTCGATGTTTGCGATCCGCTCTCAGGCTGTTGTCTATTTCGTTTATGCTCGGCTCTCAACGTACTTTCGAGGTATACTCCACCTGTTTCGCATCGGTTTCACTATTTTCCAGCTGCTTTCGTATACCGATTGTATTCCGCATAATACCTACTAAGCAATCAAAGCATATTTGACACTATTTAAGCATATTCTGGGAGGACAGCGCGAGTGTGCGTGAATGCGCCTAAATGTGCGCAATATAAAAGAAGCACAATAGAGCACATGGGGCACTGCCCCGTCTTATAGAAAATATGCTGTCAGTCCGGATATCGAGCGAAATGCGCGAGTATGTGCGCTGTCTCTCAAACGCACATTTCAACACATTCAGCCCTATTCGAGCACAGCTGATTCTCACTGGGAGTACTGAGTACTGATCATTGATGTCACCAAGTGCAGTGCGGCCTGCAAGAGGTCACAAAGGGCGGGTCACAACTCACAATGGACGGGTCACACTGGTATTGCAAACGTGACCAGATATAATTGGAACTCAGAATTAAGCTCCGCACGCGTCAGCCGCAGCCCCAGACTTTGACCCCAGACTCCGCCCCAGACTTTGGCCCCAGACTGGCCGTTTCCTGGATGTCCTCGAACACGTGATCCCCGAGCGACGGACTCGAGTTCCCGGACTCCACGACTTCTGCATGTGACGAGCTTCTTTATCTTTTTAACTGTTTTAAAATCGACATCTCAAAGTGAACCTACAATGTCGAGCCAAGCCCGAGGATCACCTCCGAGTACCGCCAGGCTTTTTCGGTGGTGGCAAGACGTATCACCTGCATTTCTTTACCACTTCTTGTGACTATCTCAAAAGATAGGCCTGTAGACTCACTAGCAGCGGTGACTAGCTATCAGACAAACCCTCTCAGTCAAGGGCTTTGCTCGCATACTTAATCAAAATCTGCTATAGCCATCGAATGCCAACCATGTCTTCTCTGACCAGCAAGGAGCAAGAGTTGATCTGGTGCATAATACGATTCTCTCCGGAATGTGGGATGTAAAGAGCGGAGACAGCGCTGGAGATGTCTGCGTGGGTAGTGATCTATTTACCCAATAACACACAGTTTGTGATGGGCGCAAACCATGAGGCCTTGAGCTCTGAGGATGCAGTAAAAAGCTGGAATGCAAAGATGGCCAAGCGCGACACTCCAATGCGTGTGCCGCTTGCTTGATCTTACGCCTTTCACATCTTGTGTATGCACTTTCCTCTGATCATATCATATCCTTCCTTACCCCATCCGGCCAGATCATCAGCTGCCCCTGCCGCCCTGCGTATATATAGCACAGACGCATCACTGAGCTGCTTAATCGACGACGCTTTACTATTTCCTCGTGGTTACAATCACCTTTGCATTATATACAGTTTGCTAACCCACTGCTCGAATCATGGCCCCTGCAGTTGATGGTCGCCTTGCTATCCTCGCCGGCATCTCTCTTTCCTTTGTTGCCGTCACGGCAATCAAGCGGCTCATCAAGAAGCGACAGAATAACCTTCCTCTTCCTCCTGGCCCAGCGCCGCTCCCATTGCTAGGGAGCGTCTTATCTGTTGACACTCAGGAGCCTTGGTTGACTTATACTGAATGGGGTGCTACGTATGGTACGTGAACAGATTGTATAGGGCATATGTACTGCATATCGTTATTTCAGGGGATTTGGTCTTCGTGCGAATTCTAGACCAGAAAATTGTCGTGGTCGATTCTCAGCGCATTGCAGAAGCCTTATTGGAAAAGCGTTCTCGGATTTACTCCGATCGACCATACCTAGCCACAATCGAGCCGTGCGTTCTTCCAATATTATTCTATTCAACTAGTCTGAGGTTCTTGCAGGTATGGCTGGTCGATAAGCTTTGCATTCATGGGTTATGGCGATGAATGGCGTCTCTGCCGACGACTGTTCCACCAAACGTTCCGTTCCAAGTCTGCAGTGAAATTTCGCCCAATGCAGATCAGGCGAGCTCGTGAGATGGTCGTTAACCTAGTCGATGACCCTCAACATTATCATGACCACTTCGCAACGTCAGCAGATGTTTTTTTTTTACGAATTGAACGATTATTTACTTGTTCACAGATTCTCGCTATCTGTTGTGATGTCAGCTTCATATGACTACGATATAGGAGCTCGTGATGATCCTCTGGTGAAGATTGTGGTAGAGGCACTGAATCTGAGCTCGGCCCTGTTGACCCCGGAGACAGCGTTAATGCTTAAAACCTTTCCCTTCTGTGAGCCCAACTCACTTGGATGAGAAAGCGTTAACATGACAGGCACCTTCGTGGAATGTAGTACTCAAGTTACCTGACTGGTGCTGGGGATCCTCGATCAAGCGTAGTGCTCGAGCATCGACAGAGCGCATCAATAAAATGGTCAACGTGCCGTTTCAATATGCGCAACGGCACATGGTGGGTATTGGTTTTTCTCTTGGTTCCAGACATTGATTTTACCCTTCACAAAGGCCGACAGTTCGTCCCTCGCTCAATCTTCAATGGTTGCAGAAAATTTGCGACGGATGGAAACGCAAGAGGAGGTATTCAAACCTGTATTTGAGAATGCCTTGAAGAAAGCAGCTGCTACTGGTCTTGGGGGTAAGTAAGCTTTTTACAAGTAACATTGTCCTCTCAACATACACCAATATCACACAGCTTCATATGAGACGGTAAGTGAGTAACTCCATCACGTTGTCCGCTCCTTATCCTCGTTACAGACTTCAGCACTTTTGATGGTTTTTATTTTGGCGATGGTATTATATCCAGACGTTCAAAGACGAGCACAAGCGGAAATCGACTCAGTGGTTGGAAAAGATCGGCTACCAACGTTCGAGGACAGTGCATCACTACCCTACATCGATGCAGTTGTGCGAGAAACTTTCCGATGGCAGCCTGTTGTACCACTTGGTATTCTTCTCCGCCAAGTGATCGTGCCTGTATTGAAGATGATCTCATAGGTATACCACATACTGCCTTGGATGATGACGTATACGATGGCTATTTCATTCCAAAAGGTGCGCTGTTTTTGTCCCGGATCAACACATTGATCATTTATAATATTGTACAACAGGCACAATCATCACATACAACACATGGTCTGCTATGTTGCTCCCAACTTTCGTGACACTGACTTGATTGTAGGGGCATTACACGAGATGAAAAGCGGTACCCAAACGCAACTCATTTTATACCAGAGAGGTTCATCGACGTTAATGGTGCGTTGACAGCTGATGACCCCGCACAGTACGTCTTCGGCTTTGGTCGGCGTGTATGTCCAGGTTCGTCAAGTTATTTTAATCTTATCAAAGATTCCCTGACAAGATGGACTTCAGGGCGGTATACCGCTGTTGCTTCTGTGTGGTCTGCCATTGTGACTATGTTGGCCACATTGGATATATCTTCTGCCAAAGATGACCAGAGCAAAGTGATCAACTTTACTCCCATATTCATCCCAGGAGTGTGTCGGTACTTGACCCCCTCGTGTTATTCTATCGTATTGTTACTAATAGTTTGTTGGTTCAGCTGTCCTGCAATCTTTCCTTGCAATATCTCGGCACGATCTCACATTCATTCAGACATTGTGCAGGGTTGGCGAACTGCTGAGTTTTGAAAGAAGGGATGACAGCTTTCCCCATCGGTGGTCCAATTGGAACACTAGAGGAGTAATCGATCAAGTATGTATTTCTAGTGTATAACAAGTTCGCATTTGCGATGAACAGAAATAAACTTCAGTCACCCTGCATGTCTAGTTGCTGTGTCGAGGGTCCTGCGACGTTTCGGTGACCGTGTGGCAGAATGTCCTGCACCGCGTCATCTGCATTTCATATTTCATGCTCATGACGTGCCCCCGGTTCCCAATTGAATGATTGCCAGCAACAACCATATCATCCTCAGGTACATACCTCGTGTAACGACAGCGCCTCGTTCGTAAGTACTCCTGAAAATGGGAGATGGACTAATGCATATGTCCTGCTTAGGCTAGGCTCATCACAGTTCAGGAACAATTCCTCCCCTACTGACGCTGTTGATGTTTGATCGCCGCCACTGATGATAATTTGATGTAGATGTAACTCAGGCATGGTGAATGAAGCTAAGTCCAATAGGGCCAAGTCATTGGTAACTGCTCAGCAATCTCGTCAGACACAGCTATTCGTCGGGAACCTGAACCGAAGTGCATTTGCGTCCGATCCAGGTGACCATAGGAATGAAATGCATCCAGCATGCTCCAACAGCGGAGTACCCTGACCGCAACTTTGGCGATCGAGCTTCGACCATAGTAAGCCTAGTAATCAGGCACTATGCAGTGACTGTGCTCACGAAACTTGAATACAAAGAGACGAGCTTTGATGAAATGCCAGAGACTAGCATCATGCAGTCACACACCGGTCGTATTATGGATCGGTATATCAAAAAAAGCTCACGCAGTCCTAACCTGCAAGCTTGAAGGTTTGTGTTAAAAGTTGCCATCGGATGAGAGATGAAAACTCACCATGAATTCGCTGTGTGGAGGCTATCTGCACACAGACAGTTTTCCAACGTCGAGAAGAACATGGTCAGGGTATATATATCGAGTCCGGATTTTGTGTGCTTGAAAAAGGGAATAATGCGAATTGAATCTGATGCGATCTTCAGAGCTTGATGCCACAGGAACGATTAGGCAGTTTGGACGCACTGAAGAAGAGTGAAGTTGGGTGAAAGAAAAAATCAAACAGGGCACCCGGGCCATTGGAGAAAATATCGCGATTCATTGATTGCACGACACATGTCGCCCTTGATCTGATGCTCAGCGCTCAGCGAGGAGACCCCTACGAGTCTGAGAATACATTGGAAATTTTAGTGGATGCGAGCAAGTCTGAGCCAGTTTCGCTTGCTTACGATTAGTTCCAGACAGCTGGCCGGATCTTTCCAGGCTCTTTCCGTAAACGAACATTATCCAATCTCCGATGCCATTTTGATCTTCCAAATCGGTGTCCTCGAGGCTCGAGGCTATACATGGCTCTGCTTGTTCCAACAGCTCAACATCTTGTTGCTCTTCATTTCTGGGTATTTCAACTTCAAACCTGGAACGCAGTGGTAGGCGATGGCATCGGAGTCTGCAATATATTGCCTGTGGTCCGTGCCCGGGATCGGAAACGCGACATGGTAATTTCCCTCCTGCGGCATATTATCGTTGAAGCGCTCGACGTTACTAAGTTCTAAGTTTGCAGATAACGTACTACTAGCATCGATAACACCCATAACCTAAATTCCTCTATTCGGACTCGGGTTGATGTGGCATCTTCCCAAGGGCATATTCAAGTTCATCAGACACTTCTCTTATCGACTTCCTGAACCAAGCGGAGACCGGCGAAGACCTTCAGTCGATACTAACTGAAGTAGGTCACCTGTCGTATCTGAGCCATAATGCATCCCTAACTCAACTTCATAACGGCACAATCAAGTTAGGTCGTCAAGCCTCCGTATTCCCGCAGAACATAGTTACATAGACTCGGAGCTCCTGTGCGCCTCGATTAGCATTACGCCCATATAATTAAAAACGCGGTTGCTTGTAATCACACGCCGCGCGTCTCGCCTCCTTCCTTCTGCTATGTCGGCCACTGGAGAAGAAAAGGTCCATGGGAGTGGATCTGAAACCTCGTCTATCGAACAAGCCGAGATCCACGAGCGTCCAAGAGGATGGAGAGGTCTTTACTACCACCCAGCTACACAGGTCTGCTTGGTAGGCTTCGTGTGTTTTATGTGCCCAGGAATGTTTAACGCCGTCAATGGTCTTGGCGCTGCTGGTCAAGTGGATGCAACTACCAGCGCAAACGCAAATTCTGCTCTCTATGCTACCTTTGCATTCTTCGCTTTTTTTTCTGGGTCAGTCGCTCCCAGTGCTCGGTGTTTGCGATTATCTGATTTGCCCAGCTCTGTGCACAACGTGCTTGGACCTAGAATCTGCCTATTGCTCGGCACGTGGGGGTATTCCTTGTACATTGCGTCATACCTGTACGTTTTTCTTCTACCTCTGTCTTCAGTCCTCACACAAGATCCAATAGTGTAACGAATATACATCCCGGTGCACATGACTTCATTGTCGTCGCTGGAGCCATCTTGGGCGTCTGTGCGGCCTTGATATGGACGGCGGAAGGATCCTTGATGATGGCATACCCGACCGAGGCTCAGAAGGGGACGTTCATTAGTTACTTCTGGGCTATCTTTAACCTAGGAAGTGTCGTCGGCTCCTCGGTGGCCTTCGGGTCGAATTATAACTCCACGGTAAATTATCCTTGCTATATGAGCTGTACGATGTTTAACCACAGAAATCAGGCGAACAAAGTTGGAAATGGAACCTATGTGAGTTTCTCTGTTATTGTGGTGAAAAGTTGTTTTGATCATATTACTGAAGATCGTATTTCTGGTCCTCTCCCTTACTGGCGTTGTCTTGCCCCTCTTCCTTGCTGACCCATACAAGATGATACGCACTGATGGAACCAGAGTCGCGCCTATCCGTTACCCTTCTTGGAAAACTGAGTTTATCAGTCTGTTTGTGGCACTGAAAACAGACCCTTGGATTGTCCTCTTGTTTCCTATGTTCTTCGCCAGCAACTATTTCTATACCTGGCGTGAGTCAGACATCACAGGAAAATGACATTGCAAGAGGTTGACATATTTTTCAGAATTCAATGATTATAATGGCGCCCTGTTCAACATTCGCACCCGCGGCCTGAATAACCTTGTCTATTGGACCGCTCAGATATTTGGCTCATTCTTCATTGGTCACTTTGTTTTGGATTTGAGGCGGTTCCGTAGACGTGTTCGTGCATTCATGGGCTGGTCAATTGTAGTGGTCCTCGTTTTTGCCGTTCATCTATGGTCATATTACTACCAATTGTAAGTCGCAAGTCACGGCCCGCTTTTTATCCAAACATGACCCTTAACTCCACAGGACTTATACTCGCACATCCGACCCTCCTACAGCCGTCAAGATGGATATCCACGATCCAGGCTACCCTGCACATGTATGGCTCATGATTTTCTATGGTCTCCTCGACTCTATGTGGCAGACAACTGCCTACTGGCTGATGGGCGCTATGTCCAATGACCCTGCAAAGCTCGCCGTGTTCACCGGCTTTTGTAAGATTATTTCACATTGAAGTCACGCAACAGCCAGCAGTTCTAATTTTCCCAAGACAAGTGCTTCCAGTCTGCTGGATCTGCTGTTGTCTGGCGCCTCGACGCTCTGCAAAAACCGTAAGCTTTATCATTTTCAGGAAGGTTGTAGACATTGGTTTTTTCCTTCATAGGTATATGGACATTTTCATCTCAACTTGGGTCTTAGCGGCTGCCGGCATGATATGTGCCTTCCCCTTGGTCTACGTTCGCGTAAAAGATTACACGGAGATGGACGATGAGGCTCTGTGAGTTAATTTGTTGCTTTGTTACCTTACGTACTTATGGTTTCCCCAGATTGGCCCGCCCAAACGTCGAGAGACTTCCTGAAGCCTCTGAGAGGAGGTAAAGCGGCATGTGTTCGTGCAACAAGAGAGGGGTGTATTTATGACAGACGAACCTGTAATGTGAATTTTGTTGTTTTTGTATCTTCAAGTGTCTGTAGCCGTCTTGCTATCAGGAGGAATCATACTTAGGTTGTACGTATTGATGGGACAAACCAATTCTCAGGCACTGCCGGTAGTGAACAATGTCTTTGCATATTGGTTATCTGGGTTTCTGTTTGGATTAACGACCTATTGGTGATCTCGGTTCAATGTCCAGTCGAATTATAATATGGTCACGGTTGTCTGTCCTTGGAATAATTGTAAGCTTGGTGATGGGAATTTGCAGGATTTCATAGTTGAAGGCCGCGGGCGCCGTCGGGTATCGACCTTGGACTCTCCATGGACGTGTGAGCACTTAGGTGCCCTTTACTCTGCTTTACTCAGTACTCGCTTCAATTTTTACACGGAACATACATAGCACACCTATTCACAATGCAGTGGGGGAAGGAGGTCGCAGGGACGCGGAGTCTGCCGGTGTTTGGTGCGGATGTAATAGTAGTAGTTGTCTCTCTTAGGCAGCCATCAGGCTGCCACACCCAAATTCTCTTGATGCAGTAGGAATCTATAAACGCTCTTGAAATTCAAGTTTGCAAGGCACACCTCTTCCTTCCGCCATGTAACCAGTGAAGAAGAAAATGCAAGCAGGAGCGGATCTGACTCTTCGGCTGCTCAACAAGCCGAAGTCTTCGTGCGTCCCAAGCCTGGATGGAGACGTATAGACTATCACCCAATCACACAAGTCTGTCTAATGGGCTTTGTTTGTTGTATGTCCCCGGGCATATTCAATGCCTTGAGCGGTCTCGGCGCTGGTGGTCGAGTTATGCAACTACCAACACAAAACGCAATTGCCGCTTACTCTAGTTTTTGCTAGGTCAGTCGTACGCACCGCTCGGCGCATGATGTGCTTGGATCTAGACACTGCCTAGTTCTCGGAACCCTCTGTCCACTGCGTCGTTTCTTTTATCTTCCGTCTTTCAATTTTTACTGATCCGGTCGAATAAGCCAATGTTCGTCGTTGCTGGAGCCATCTCAGGAGTTAGGTGCCTGTGTGTTCTTTAAATGAGCAGCGGAAGGATCCTTGACCATGGCATACACCACCGAAGCTCAGAAGTAGACGTTCATCGGTTATTCCAGGGGAATCTTTAACCGTCGGCTGCGTGGTGGCCGGGACAGACTTTTATTCGATGCTGATCAAGTTCTTATGATTGATTTGATCGTACTTACACAGATCGGATTCCTCATCCTCACCCTCACCCTCATTGGTGTGCTTTTGCTCATCTTCCTTGTAGATCCATACAAGATGATCCGCACTGACAGATGTGTTTATCAATCTTCTTGTGGTCCTGAAGACGTACCCCTGGGTCATCTGTCATCCTGTTACCTATGCTACGTTTTTGCGAGCATCTAATGCTATACTTAGCATCAGTCAAACATCACACGGAAATAACACTGCAGGACGCTGGTGCGCTTTTTTAAAGAATTCAATGACTGTAACAGTGCCTTGATCATCATCCGCACCCGTAGCTCGAAGAACCGGGTGTATTGGACTGCTCAGGTCTTTGGCTCATTCTTCATCGATGCATCTGTCACTTTGAAACGGTCCTGTGCCTTCCTCTGCTGGTCTATTGTAGTTGTCTTTGTTTACCTGAGCCTACTTTTACCGAAAGTAAGTCGCTATCTACCTCTTGTCAGACGTGACAGTCAATTTCAAAAGACCTATACTTGCGCCTCAGAGCGCCTCAGAACCTGCTACTGTTGTCAAGATAGATATCAATGACCCCGATTACCCCGCACATGTATGGCTCATGATGGTTTACAGTTTCCTCGACTCCATATGGCAAACAACTACTGGCTGATGGGTGCTATATCTAATGACCCCGCAAAGCTTTGCCGTGTTCGCTGGCTTCTGTAAGTTTTCACATCAAAGCCACGTAATAGTTCCTATTCCAATGACCTTCTATTTTCTCAGACAATTGCTTCCAGTCTTCCAGATCTGCTATCGTTTGGCGCCTCGACGCTCTGTGACGACCATAAGCTTCATTGTTTTCCAAAAGTATGTAAACATTGTTTCTTTAACAGAGATATGAATATTTTCATTTCTACTTGAGTCTTAGTCACTGCTGGCATGATGTTCGCCTTCCCTTTGCGTACAGAATCACACGGAGATTGACGATGAGGCATTGTCAGTTTCTATGTTACCTTGCCTCGTTGCTGATCAAATTTTCTTATTCTCCACCTTGAATCAATCCGATGTCGAGAAAAATTTCAAGCCCGCTCATGAGAAAGAAAGTGACAAAGTGATGTTGGAGCAGTGGATTTAGTGCGCACGTGTATTGGATTTTATACCTTCGAGATTGTTCATGGTTGCTATATAGACTTGTAAGATCTATGGGGTGGCTTGGTGATTGCGAATTGATTATCAGAAGTATCCACCACAAATGTACAGATACTAGTGAGTCTCCTGGGTCTGTTGTGCTTGGGTTTACTGTTTTAGGAAGTGTCCATGCTACGTAGTCACAAGACTCATTACCAATCTCCGAAATCTCCAGTTTCAACAGTGCATTCATGCACCATGTGCTGAGAAAAAGCACGAGAAGGTAAGGGATCGTATTCGGAATGACATGCATGAGAGACTTGTACATGTTCTGCATTCATGTCAAAACCGGTCTACTAGTAATGTTGGATGCGCCGGTACCTCATATCTGATATCGGCATTGGGTTACCATTTTTAGACCGGCCGGTGTCCCTTTGGGGTAGTAGGCGGCATTATGTAAAAAGTAGGTCTCAGTGCGCCTCACCTCTTTTCGCGACCTATCATACGATTCATTGTAATGAAACGTCGATTCATTTCGCGTCTGCTCATGCATACAGTTTACAGTTGCTTCATTACCTTTAGACTGCGCATGGCCGTCCGCTTCGGCGAATGCGGTGTGCAGTAAGTGTGGTGCAGTTCCCTTTATTGCTTCGCTTTCCCTCGCCGGCATTGCTTATTTTAGCGCGAGCCGTTCCTTCCAATTGCCTTTGCCACGGGTCTCAATACGCCGCGTGTCGCATGGGTCCTTCATACCACATGAGCGCTTGATAACGCTACCGTGTTATAAGAATCACTGACTCACTGAACTTTGTGATCTTGTTGCCGGCTACATCCTCTAGCTACCATGTCTGACGCGCAAACAGAAATCGAAAAACTTGGCAGTGGCAGCAGCGAGGACTCTGGTTCTCAGCGCGCAGAAATTTTTGAACGTCCGACTGGATGGAGGGGATACTATGAACACCCCATCACGCAGGTCTCGCTGTTGGGATTCGTGTGTTTCATGTGCCCCGGCATGTTCAACGCGCTTACTGGTCTCGGAGGTGGAGGCCAAGTCAACTCTACGGACCAGGCCAGAGCTAGCGCTACCTTGTACTCGACTTTTGCGTTTTTTGGCTTCTTTGCCGGGTAAGTCAGGGTCGTCACTGTCAATTTTACCTATACTGACTATCATTGTTGCAGTTCGGTTAACAATGTGATTGGTCCCCGACGGACACTAATGCTTGGCACATGGGGCTACTCGTTGTATATTGCTGCCTTCCTGTAAGCTGTCTTGTTATTTGATCCATAATTACTAAACATCGCCCTTCAGCGCTGTCAACATTCATGCTGGTGCGGGTGCTTTTGTTGTCACAGCCGGTGCCATTCTTGGCGCCTGTGCGGCTTTTCTTTGGACCGCCCAGGGCTCGATGATGATGTCATACCCCACTGAGGCTCAGAAGGGCATGTTCATCAGTATCTTTTGGGCTATCTTCAACCTTGGAGGGGTTGTTGGGTCTGCTATCTCGTTTGGAAGCAATTTCAAGAGTACGGTGGGTGAAGTATTACATTTGCGAATGTGTGGACGCTCATATTTTCCACTATCAGAGCAACAGCGGTAAGGGATAAGATATTGTTATCTCAGCGCGGAACTGACCAGTTTTGTTGTGTACAGTTGGCAATGGAACATATGCAAGTCATTAGATCCGCTATTGCCAACAGAAATTGATGGTTCATTAGGTCGGCTTCTTGATCCTGACTCTCATTGGCGTGTTTATCCCGCTGCTCATGGTGGACCCAAACAAAATGATCCGAACGGATGGAACTCGCGTGAACACGGTCCGCCACCCATCCTGGAAGACGGAGTTCCTCAGCCTGTTCGTAGCCCTGAAGACTGACCCTTGGGTTATATTCCTCTTTCCGATGTTTGCTGCCAGCAATTACTTCTATACCTGGCGTTCGTATATTTCTTCTTAGAACCAGTCTGGTTGCTGATAAGTTATACAGAATTCAATGATTACAATGGCGCAATATTCAACATCCGCGCTCGGGGTCTGAACAACTTTGTGTACTGGACGTCACAGATCTTCGGATCCATCTTCATTGGTTACTTTGTCCTTGACCAGAAGAACGTTCGGCGCAGAGTCCGTGCCTTCTATGGCTGGATCCTCGTGTTCTTCATGATATTCGTTGTCCACGTCTGGGCATACTTTTACCAAAAGTAAGTCATCTTATCGCACTGCACGTCCGAATTGGCATCAATGCGATCCTTAGGACATATACCCGGATTGAGGAGACTGCTCTAGGTGCTTATAAAATCGATATCTTGGATTCAAACTACCCTTCCCATGTCTGGCTCATGATCTTTTATGGCTTCCTGGATTCGATGTGGCAAACATATGCATACTGGCTAATGGGCGCAATGTCGAACGACCCTGCCAAGCTGGCCGTGTTCGCTGGCTTTTGTGCGTATTGACCTTGAATCGGAAGTACGAGTTCGATACTGATCAAGAACCCACACAGACAAGTGCCTGCAATCAGTGGGTGCAGCATCTGTCTGGGCTGCCGATAGTGCTAGTGTCCCGTAAGTTCACTATCCCTCCATTTTGCGAACAAACCGCTGGATTGGTGATTTTAGATACATGAACATTTTCCTGTCGACGTGGTGCCTCACAGTCGCTGGCATGATCTTCGCCGCACCGATGGTGTACCTTCGTGTCACTGACCACACGGATATTGAGGACGAGGTTCTGTGAGTGTCCATGATGACTGATGGACCTGTCGTTGGTGTTGACCTCTATGGCAGGATGCAAATCGCGGGCGTGGAACCGATCGAGCCTCCAGTGGCTGCAACGACACAGAAGGCATAATATCACGACAACGATGTATTGGTCACGAACGGCTCCTTCTGCTTTGGTTATTATCTTTTTTTTTCATGGCAATGTACTTAGCAACAATCAACGACTTGTCTGTAGTTTGCTGCATACTTATTAATTATGGTGAATCTGATGTCACTTCAAGTTCAAGGATGAATCGATGGTAATTGCCATACCGTCGTACTGAGATGTTGGTTTCTTGAGACGGTGTGTTGATGTTGTCTCCTGCTTTTGGATGCAAGCTTTGGACACGCAGCTAACTCGAGTATGAACTCGCCACTACATTTACATGGCACCGTGTGATCGTGCGGACAAAATGCAGCTACTTATAATTAATTTGTAATGCTCCAGTGTAACAACCTTGTAAAAATATTCGTCTATGGCTATCATACATGACCAAGCTGTGGTACCCATCTCACCATTCAGGCCTCAGGTATCAACATCGTTTCAGCAGCCACTTATGGCTGGGTGCACCTGAAGTAAAAAAAGAAAAGAAGAACTTTAATGTCAGACCCAAAGGCATTACTGCACGGAGGAATCGACGAGCTTTAAACTCGCATTTCATGATCCCCCAACCTTAGTGCCCAAGTACCCCTCACCCTCCGCGCCGTCTCCTTCGCCCTCCTCTCCAGGCTCCTCCCCATCCTCGTCGATAACCCTCTCCCCCTCCTTACCTCGCCGATCATCGTCCCGCTGCATCTCGTCCCGCATGACCGCGACATCCTGGTCAACCTTGGGGGCGACTCTGTCGATCCCGGCCTCTGCAAGGGAGACGTGCATGCGGTTCTTGGCAAGGTGAGCGGAGCGCTTTGGGGGGCGCTTGAGCCGGCGACGGGCAACCATAACCGGAACGGAGCATCGCTGATGATCAGGTGGAGTGTCAGAATGATAAAATCGCAATGGAGTGATAAGACTAACTTGAATGAGATAGTGTGACGTTGAGCCCAAGAGAATACTATGGAGCGGGTCACATATTGATTTAGTGGCTTGATGAGACTATCGTGCGCACTTACCCCTTGATCTGACCCAAGCCTCGGGACCCCACAATCAGCATCGTGGGTTCGTTATAATCAACAATATCGAGGAGCATGTGGCGCGAGTTTTTCGAGTGCCATGCTTGGCAGGAGACTGTCACGTTCAAGTGCGTGCGTTGTAAGAGCGCCGTTGCTTGACGGACGAGGATATAGGCAAGGCCTTGACGCTATGTGTCGACGTGAGTTTGCAATGAAATTGATACGAGGACTATCTTACTTCCTGTTGAGAACGAAGTCTAGTGGAGCGATCCGCTGGGTTGGGGATCGGTGGGTCAACTGCAGCATGTAAATCAATACAAATACGAGTACATGTCAAGATGTCATTACCTTTAGCCTCGTTTTCGACAACCGTAACGATGAGCCTGTACCATAAAATTTGACAGTGCACCATGACAAGGGCGAGAGCACTTACAGATGATCGCCGTCTCGAATCACTGTGCCGATACCCCATTCAACAGCATAACGACTCTCCTCGCTGAGGTCACTAGCGACAATGTACATCCGCCTCCGTCTTTCTGATGCCTCTGGATCGCCTTGAGTCATGGTGATCGTGCACCTATCACGCTGGAATAGCGGACGAGCAGTCTTCAAAGGAAGAGTTTCATGATGCCGGGACTTCTTTCGCTTCGAACCCCCACGCTTGCCTTTCATTGAGGTGAGGCTCGACCGGTTCAGAGTAGAAGGGAAATAGGGTTCAGGTGGCACTACGACATTGACGCCTTCGCCCAATGGGTCAGGGTCCATAGTGACGTCGTCAGGATCCAGGTCTCCCATTGGCATCTCATGAGCAGCAATAAGCGCATTCTGCTCCGTGTTCCTCTCGGTGACGAAATCAAACATGCCCCCGACATCATCGCTCCAATCGTCTTCTTCATCTTCTGTCTCTTCTCCAGCGTACTCTGAACCTGAATCCAGATCCTCTGTGAAAGCATTGCGAGGTCGGACGGCAAGTGTGCGTCGTGAAGTGACAGAGTCACAGTCTGATTCTTCAAGAGGAAGAGGAGCAGGAGATGCGTCGCGATCGCGGGGACGGAAACGGCGTAGACTGAAGGGAGATGACGAACGAGCACGAATGGACTCCTTGGAAGCTACGGATGCTGTGTCCTTGTCCTTGTCTTTTGTATAAGACGGGAGTACAAAAGACGAGGAGCGAGGCTTCCGTTTGCTTGGGGCGCGTCCGCGAATTTCCTTATCTTTGTCGTCATTCGTCACCGTGCGAGACAAAGAGAGCGCAGAAAGACCCCCCATCATAGAGTTAAAAGATATCTTCCCAAACGATCCAGGAGTGCGAGGCGTCAGTTCAGGTGTTTTCATGGCAGATGCCGAAGGCGGCGATGTAACAGAAGACGACGATGCGGCGTTCTGTGGCAAAGTTTGTTCATATTGCTGTAGATGAGAAACAGAGGAGTGAGGGGATGAATGATGAAAGGGAAGTAAATGGGATAAAGAAGAAACGGAGTTGCGTCTTGGTGTGCTGGGCCGCGAGGTCTTTAAGCTCGTCTCGCAGCACGAGGCACCCGCGCCTGGGTCTACAGGATGGAAGGTCTGTTCGCCCTGCTCGCATCCTTCTCTTGGGGACGCCAACCCTATGTCCAAATGAAGCGTTGGTCTGGGCACTTCCTTGGCAGCATCCTTCTGCGGACCGTACCATGCTAGCCAGCTACGGCGTTTTGAACGCCCGCCACTGGGCTCAGCAGTAGCAGACATCGTGATAACCAGGACAGGAAAGCCGCAACGATCGAAGTGGTTGGAGTCAAACAAAGGGTAGCGCCGCTTACCTGAGCTGCCAGGAGTTTTCTGAAATTGGTGGCTACGTCGTTCGAGACTGATAGCTAGAAAAGGCGAGAGGTTCGTCAGGGTGAAATGCACACAAGAGTGTTTCAGCTTGGCGGACAGCCCATTACTCACCTTTGCTTCTTTTCCCCCGTTCATCCTTGTTCCTGCTCTAGACACCTAATATCGAGTTAGACCCAACAATATACTTTAACCTCGGGTTTATGGAATGTCTGCTGTTAGATATTCCGCGTTGGTCGCTGGTATGGAAGTTGTCCTTGTTATTCGCTATCACTCGGTGGGCAGTGCAAGGGGGATTCCTAAATCAGTAAACCCCGTGCACGTGGTCTTCCCGATTCTTACACTTTCAATTTCTCTTGGGTCTTCCATACCATGACACGACTACCTATTGTATACGTTGCGAGGACCTCTCTGGGATGACATAACTACGTAATGTATCCGTTGTGGGGACCTCACTGCTTTGACACATTCCTCACAGGCTTGCGTTGGCAACCTTCCCAAAAATTTCCTCCAAGAATGCATCTGAGTTCGGCGATCGACCCAGGAAATCCTGTTCCATCACGTGAGCGTCTGTCCTTGGATTGGATTGCGAAGATGCAACACACCTCAAGGGAATCCGTTTCATCCCGACTACCTCCCACCAGGAGGATCTTGTCCCTGTAGAGCTTGCCCAAAACAGGGTTCAACGGATCCTTCTTAAAAACCGTCGCATACATGTCCGCGGCAAATACAAGAGAATACGTGTACCTGGTTATCACGTTCGCCCGCCGAGGTGTCAGTTTTAGTCGGTGGCCCATCAGAATACGACGATCGCATGACTCACCCGTAGTAACCTGCATCATAGCCTCCAACGATATGTCCAAAAGTGCCTTGGCCTGGCTGAGCTTTACCCCCTTTCACAAGCGAGATCGATTCACGCAGGTCATTCCAGAGTTTGGTATAATCTGCCGCTTCTGTACAATGCTCAGTAAGCCCTGCAATCCAAAACAATAATAACACATGCGCCCAACCTTTATCCACGTGCACTTTAAGATCAAACTTGGCAACGAACAGCTGCCGAAGGTAGAATAACCCGACGTTTACGTAGCGACTGTGACAGTCATCCATACTTTCATTCTCGAAAAACTTCAAGATGAAACACACCTCCTTATCAGCTTATCTATCAATTCCGGCGACAGCGGCTCCTGTGTCTCGTAGTGGCTAGACATTTTCTCGAGCACTTTTGGCTCCCAGCACCTGCTCCATGCCGTAAGCACTTTTCCAATAGCACATTCTTTCGGGATTGTCCAAAACACGCACCAATTTTCGAGCATTTGCGACGGCGCCTCCACAAAGTCTCTTGCAACGGATGTACCATGGAATCGCGCGTACTTCGTCCGACTCAGTAATCCATGGAAGACATGGCCCATCTCATGGAAAAATGTTGTCACGTCGTCGTGTCGCATTAGAGCGGGCCGGTCAGGAGTTGGCTTTGCAAGGTTCGCCACCATTGCCGTCAACGGGTAGTGACTTTTGCCCGATGGTAGCTCGTAGCCCGGGAGAAGGCCCCATACAGCTGCGTGAGAGTACTTTGCAGCTGGAAAATAGAACAAGGTTAAATGAAAATACAAATACAAATGAGGCTTCGCGCCCTTACCGCGGGGAAACAGATCCAGGTAGCAATATCCTACAAATGCAGATTCATCTTTGGCGTCCTTGTCCCACACAGCGAACTGTTGCACTTCTAGAGCAAGGATTTAGACAACTGAAATTTGTCCAGTACAGTAGGTGCCACGCACCTGGATGCCAGACGTTGTCGTCCTTGATCTCGACGAACTTCACTCCAAGCAGGTCCTGATATATTTTCAAGATCGTGGGAACAACCACGGCGACCGGGAAATATTCCTTTACAAGAGATTCGTCGAGATCGAGTGTCTTCTCGATATAGAGGCGATCATAGTACCTGTCATGATACCGATGAGCGAGATCCTATAGCACTGATGAACGTGATGGTTCACCTGTAGTCCCAGATATAGAACTCGCCATCAAATGGAAGTCCGCGCTTCTGATGTTCCTCCTTCTTGAGTTGAAGAAGAATATCACGCTCCTTCTCTCCGACAGGACGCAGCTTCGCCTCGAGGTCATCCAGGAACTAGGGTGCATATATGTTGGTTCGACAGGGGTAATCAAAAATTTGTTCATCACTCACGTTCTCAGCGTTTTTACCAGACTTGACCATCTTCACTTCTGTGACGTAGTCTGCCCATGTGTCATAGCCAAGCATCGCCGCGATGCGCCGACGGAGGTCAAGCGCCTTCTCAAGCAAAGGCACATTTTGTTTGAGTCGGTCTTCAAACGCTTCTTGAGCATCACGTCGCGTGATTGGGTTATGCGCGAATTTGAACTGAAATATTACTCAGGTAAATCAACAGAAGCATTTCATGATGTCACATACGATTGGGGAGATATCTGGTGTTTTGAAAGTGACGTCGTAGACTTCCTTCAAGCCCTCAGTACGCTTGGTGTAGCCCGAGATGACATCGCTCGGGACTCCATCCAACTCTTCAAGCGTGAACGAGATGTTACCCTACGTATATTTGATTGGTCATGTCTCGAATCAAAGCAAACGGGTGATCTCACATCTTCTTCATTGAAGTTTTTCTACAAACCCCATTAGCGTAACGCCTGAACACTGAAGAAACCATCCCTACGCTAAAATCCAAGCAAGCTTGCGAGAGCTCCTTCTTCAACTTCATCAACACCTCGCGGTCCTTCTCAGGAAGTGCAAGACCAGCTCTCTTGCCATCCAACACCATCTTCTCCACGAGCCTACGTTGCTCATCGCTCAGCTTCTCCCATTCACCTGATTTGCGCAGATTGTTCTCTGCAGCAGCCTTGGCTTTGAATACATCAAGACGCATGGACTCCTCGACATCGAAATCCCGCTGAAGAGCTTCCGCTTCGTTCGAAGCATCTCGGAGTTCTTTAGAGAGGGAGACATTCTGGTAAAATCCGAGAGGCTCGCAGATGATGAGGGCTTCTGCCTCTGCATTAGCAAGCGGTAGCTATAGTCGAATGATCGTCTGAGAATGCAACAGCAACCGATCGGAGACATCACTCACAAAAACCTGCGAGTCGAATAAGAGATGATCAGTCCGGTGATGCTGCACAGTGCAGGCCACGTACGGTTTCGAAATTGCACTCAGCCTCCGGGAGAGCACCGACTCTGTCGCTGACCGCCTTATTCTGCGCAAGTGCCTGCTTGATGATAGTCAGCACTTCTTCCGGGGCGTGATTCCACCTAGGAGGAGCTTGTGGCGGAGTCAACGAAGCCATGGTAAGATCACTTTCTAATAGCGAAAACGCAAAGCTAGATTTTGTGTGTGGGCTGCTGGAGAACGGTCTTGATGTCTGTGATCGTGAATATTGGGTTCGTAGGCGGTTCTGTCGGGAGCCAATGGATGTCGAGGATGAAGATTGTATCCGTGTGGGGTACTTAAGCGCTGGATTGGGGCTATCGATCTGAATATATGTGGTGTGCGTGACCGGCCCAGTATATCCACCGGGATTATGTGCAAGTTGCCAAAAGTGCGAGGATTCTGGGTTGCGTAGTTGCGGGAGTCTGGAACGTGATAAAAGACGAGTAGACTTGGAAGACGCAGAGCTTGCACGGGCGATCATTAACCTTGTAAATGAGCCTGGGTTTGAGTGGACCTATTCTTTGGCAGTTGCAGTCCACTTGTCCACGTAGTACTAAGTGACGGAGTTTCACTATAATCTGGCGCTAATTATAACTGTAGGCGCCTAAAACAATAAATATCTCTTCAGAAGCGTACTACACAGTCATGACTCATGAATATTTGATCGTGCTGTTATCATCAAATCGCTAACAATGTTACTGAGTTCGTCTCGGATTGTGAGTTTAGCGAACGAAGTGGTTCTAGTCCGAATAACAGCTAACCCAATAAAAATATCTGCAGACTTAACTCAACAATCATATTGCATCCTATTGTTGTAATAAATCTCGATGGGTCTGGACTACGAAAATCAACGGAAATTAACCAGCTGTGTGTGTTGACCAACCCACCATTTTCATATGATTAACAATATCTGAATCACTCGGTAGACTCGGAGGACGGTCGCAGCTCTATCCTGTTCGGTCCCTACTGGAGATCCAGGACAAACTGTCACATAGTGCGGGCGTCGGCTTACACGCAACGAGTACACCTACCAGTGGTGGATTGAATGCTAAACTTACATCAATTGCGTGTTGTGGCAATGCCCGCCCTGTTCGTGTGCTGCTCCCCTGTGGCCCTGTCATTGAGATCGCGTTCGATGCCCGCGCGAATTGTTACCCCTGGCCTTGAAGCTTTGAAGCTTGAAGCTTGAAGGATTGTTGTGGGCGTGTTTGTGTTTTGGAGCCGACATTCGGCGTCTCAATAGCGCGAATGATGCAGCTAACTGAGTTTACCTACAATATTAATGTGCCGTGATGACATAAAGTTTGAGCTAAACCTTCTTATATAAGTTATACTAGTACTACTATGACTTCATTCTGGGCCATTCGGGTCCCTACTAGCGACCCTGCTACTTAATACATTTTCAATGCTTCCACATTGACACTAGGTAGAGGTACCTAGGTATGGCTAATTTATACATATAAGGATCACCTGCAAGGCTGTAATCGAGCCAGCGCATCGTGAATAATGCACCTCCTCTGGTGTGTGATTCTGACAGGTACAGGAGGTCCAATGAACTACTTCGGGTCGGTTTTGCTGCCGGCAGAATGCGTTTATGACTTTATCGTTTGATTATGTATGTATGTAGGTGGTCGAAGTACTGATGAATGGTTTTTCCGCTCAAGTGTGAATGCATGTGAATGAGTTGTCTTGACAGGACGTGGCGTTGCGAGCGCTCCTAGACTTGTAATAATTGAATATTCATAGAGTCTGCTCATACAACATACCCGATCAGGGCTAAGTATCCACTCGTAGTAGTAGCTAGTAGTAGTACATCGAGTATGGCTATAGTATCTCGGAAAAGGCTAGATGCTAACCGGGACCGTTAGACAATGTGATGCCGAACCATGAGTAGTACCGCGGTCCGCCGGTTTAACTAACGACAATAGTAGAACTATGTAAGGAGCTGATAAGTACGGGTCAAGCTGATCTGCTGAGCGCTGAGTTCACTCTTTTCAGTGTCCGATGTCGGTCACCTGAAGGACAGAGCCTCAGAGAACTGGCTAAATGGTTTTTTTTTTCCAATTTGACCAGAGCGGTATCAGTGGCCCGCGCTTACATAATACCTCCACATGGTCCTTTGCACTAATTTATGCGAACGAATATTAATTATACACTTCACAATATAAGCACCGGCCGCGTCGAAATCATGATTCGCTCATTCATGCATATTTCTCTCCTCCATCTGCGGCTCACTACCCATAATGAGTGACCCTGGCTCCCCCTCTCCCGCTGAAGTAGAGAATCTCGTGGTTCTTTTCGTGGGTTTTGCGTTTGCAACTTTCTTATACGGCTTGACGTTCTTTCGTGAGTGTCTTATGGTCTCATCAACTTTCTCTCATGTCGTTGCAGAGATGTACATATATTTTTCTCGATACTCGAATGATTATACATGGACAAAGATCTTGGTATAGTTTTCTTCCCTATCTGTCGTGTACCCGTCTCACATTTCCACTTTCTCGCAGGTTGGGACACTATTGTAATGTATTCTGGCTTTAAACTTGAACGGCACCTTACACATATCCAGTGTCCTGGATACCACTTCAACTTGCCTAGGTGCGACCACTTTCAAACGTGTTTTTTTGTCTTCCTGATTTAGATTCATAGTATCTGACCTGTAGGAGCTTTGTCTCCATTCACTCCAATCTCTAACATATCTGATTAGGCTATATCACTATCTGGTAACAATGTTCGACGTGACAATGGATGTCCTCTATGCAACACCGTAAGTGTCAGTTCGTCAAACGTGTTATGCACCTTTGTAACCATGTGTTTAGAACTTTTTGCGTAAGTGAATTTGACGCATGGTTGCCTTAGCCGCTTCTCATTGTCTGCCGTATCAAGATACAATATCTCCTTTTGGTGAGTCTTCTATACTCAACGGTGGCTTCCGGCGTGCTAACAGCATCACTCCAGGTCATTCTCGCTCCAATCGCGCAGTTGTAAGGCAACAATCATATATAGAACATGTGACATCTCTTACTCCCCCTTAGATTTTTCGCTAGTCGACTTTATACTGGTGAGCCAAGTTTTTTTGTGAGTTTCATTTTCTCATTGTTCATAGTTTGCGGTGGTCCTACGAGTATCACTTCGAGATTCGTCGGCACGGTAGTGGTATGTGTTTTATAACCATACTCAGTCACTTCCACTAACTACGCCGCAGCTATTCTGTGCCTTCATCGCTTTTGGTTAGTATTCTTTCCTGCGTGTATAAACCTTACCTGACGTGACGTGATTTTCGATTACAGTTTTCGGCTTAAGTCAGTTTGTATGATATTCAATTGATTTTCATTGACGAAAGTGCAGCTTCAGTAGGGCAATTGTAAGCGGATATTCTAATAACAATCTTGGATGCCGTCGCTGATTCTCATTCGTTTCAGCTTCCAGCAAAGGCAGTTGTCCACATTCGCTTCGCCCTCCATGGCAGTGAGTGTTTTGGTCAATCAAGAGGATTCTTACCCGGAATTGCAGATCATCGCTGGCATCAGCCAAGGCTTCGCAGCACTCGCGAACATCATCATTTTTATTGCGATGTGTTGGTCATTGCGTCCAGCACGTTATCCGGACATGCTCCAGTCGGTGCTTCATATCATAAGACACAAGCAACTGCTGACGCATTGTTTTTAGGCCCGAGGGGGTGGTTGAAAACCTTGTTGTGCTGTTTGTTGGCCGTGGCCTGGGACTCGCGTAGGTTTACTCCGCGTCTGTTTTTATAGCCTAATCATGTTTCCGTTGGTCAGCATCATTCAGCTGGCGTATCTTGGCACAGTACGTGGATGCTTCGTAAGCGTACATTTATGACTCATCTGTATAGTTTGTTGCATCACCAGGAAAACCATATTGGATAGCAATCCAGATGGTGACCCCCAGGAGTGAGTTCACGTCACCCACTCACCTTGTGTATAGGTTCATGGCAGATCATAGTTTACGCCAATATTGTCTTGGGACTGTAAGTCATTCACCTCAAGCCTCGAACAACGTGTTCCTATTATTTTTCTCAGCTTAACCACCCGGGAAGTCAAACACGGCGTCGGTCTCAACGAAGAAGACACCTTGTCTGATCGACATGATTCCCAAAACGATGCTTTCCAAGGCTCGCTTCGCTTCCGCGACAGAAAAGCAGTGAGTCCACATGCCTCGAGACCCAGCTGACATCAAGCTAACGTACCATCAGACGCAGCAGTCATCGACCTTTTCGCAACAAGGGGAGAACAGCAGGAGTACCGAAATCGAAGAAGCAAGCAAATCATATCCCGATGATCAGAACTCGGTGCGTTCGTGCCATATGGCGTTGAAGACGTCCCCTGATTTATGCAGAGGTCCGTTCATTCTCATTGCAGCGAGCAACATACATATGACAAGGGAAGCTTGTCATGATCCGGAATTTGCGATTCGCTGGTCGCACGCCTATTGATATCATTGTACTAATCGTCGCTGTCGTCCCTCCCGCACTCGCTTTCGTTGCTTTCGCTGCTCGCACTCACTTGTATCATATTGCCGTCGGTGCTACAGTCGACTCGGTGCATACTCTACATTAGTCCCTGCTTCTTGAAGCAGCTCGGACTTGGAAGACACGTATTATATCACGGTCTCATGAATAACATAGCGTATATCGCATATATCGTACGTACCAAGTATTCACATTTCAAGACAATTATTTTGGGGAATCAAGTCTTTCAGCTTTCAGAGTTGCACTTTCTAGATGTCGCCAAGCATTCTATCTTACAGACAACCGAGGTGAATGGCGTTCATAGGTTTAAATGTTAGCGCTGCATCTTCACATCGACGCTCGGTATGCGAAATAAATAACGTTAATCGGAACATGCGATGAAATGTCGGGCGTTCAACGTGATAGGTAATAGGTGCGTTAGTGAGATGAATGATGAATCAAAATTCTATACGTAATACTAATGAGGGACACGGCGTAGCAAATTGACGCCTAACGTGGGCCTAGACGACGTGTAAAGTAGACGCCCGCTTACCTATGCTACACTCCACTCCACGCGTTCATCGCAGCCTGCACTAAACAGTCGAAACGGGAGAGGTCGTCGAAAAATGGTCAGGGCACACTGATCGTGTGTGGTCAGTGTGTTGGAGTGCGGATGGTAAGCGAGTGCTGAGCGGATCCTGGGACGGGACAGCAAGAGTCTGGGATGTCCGGACCGGAAAAACAATCCTGACAATCAAAACCGGGCACGAGTATGTGTGGGCGGCGATATACTCCCCCGATCACACACAAATTGTGACAGGAGGATGGGACCAAGATAAAGCTGACGAAGATCAACTTACACAAATCTGGGATGCAAATACGGGCAAACTGCTCGCGACACTCAAACGCGATCCAGGCTTCGACTTGGCCTGGACGTCGGATGGCAAGAAACTTATCTCCGTGGGACGTAAGCTGATTGGGATATATGACACAACTGGCAATTGGGAGGAGATCGCCATTCTGGAGGCTCAAACAGAAGTTGTCACTGCCATCACCTTGTTTCAGAACGACTGCCTCCTTGTGAGTGCATCAGAACGTGATCGATCTGAATACGCAGTACTAGTGCGTCTATGGAATCTCGACACCAACCTCCAAGTCGGTCCACCCATCCAGCACGAATCTTATGTACACTGCGCAGCCCTTTCCGCTGATGGAAGAGTGCTGGTCACTGGTTGCTCTAACAAAAATGCATATGTATGGGACATTCACGCCATCCTCAAAGAAGCTGGCCATGAGGACTTATTATCCATTCCTCATGTGAGTCCAGGTGCCTCGTGCTTTTCGAACCACACTAATCTCTCACTTGCAGGTCCCAACTCAAAAGTCGTTAAAGGACGTACGTGACGCATTTCTTCACTCTGCCCAACCATTCTAAGATCGGAATTATAGGGTGCTACCAGACGTCCACCTATTCAGGCCCGTCGAATACCACCAGGTTTTTTCGACGACACCCAAGTGAGTCCTCTACCTTTTTTCACCAGCTCTTTTTCTGACCTTTCTCAGTTCTCTACAGCACGTGGTACCCATACCCTCTCTCCTGCGCACAATCCTCGTAGTCCTCGCCCATCCTTGTCTGCCATTCCACGTGCTCTTCTCGAACAACTTTCGTCATTCTTCCACCCCTCTCATTCCAATGCTGAGGAACCAACCGAACTCCAGCAACGCCCAAGGCGCTCCATCTTCTCTCGCGGTCCTCGTGTCGTCGAAGTGGCTGCATTAAAGGACAGAGAGGTATACATCTCTTTGCGCGCATTTCCCATTGCCTTTTTCTAATGATTTCTGTTCAGGTTATATTCACTGCTCCCCCGCCGCCAGAACAAGCACAGCAGCAAACCCAATCGCCCCCCCAGGGGCCATCCACGACACAGCCTGCCCTAGGCGCTAATCCTACTACACTACGTCCAAGACATCCGTATTCACCCGTCCGACTGTTAGGTCATCTCTTTCTTTTTCTCTGCTGCTGCACATTACCTCAGCACGCTAATCGAAATGCACAACCAATACAGCAGGAAGGCCAACCACAATGCCAAGTCCATGCCCAAGCGTCATCATCGCAGAGTCATCCTTCCGCCCCCTCGACATCCGCGACACCTACTGCTCTTGATAGTACTCACACTATCGCGCCAGGTGCAGCAAGCGCGTAGCCACAGCCCCTTCTATGGTGGACTCATTTCGTGATCGTAATCTTTCTACTGTGCAATTTCCCCACATGCCGATGGTCATTAATACAGGTTCACGACTACTTCATATTTGCTTCTAGTTCTTCAGTACTAATCTCTTCATATCATTTGGCAATTACGTGCATCATTCTTGTTTCCTCGCCATGAGACTCGTGCAATGCATCGAACTCGACAATATCAACCGTTGCAAGAGGAACGTTCTAAGATCAACTAACTTGGCGATGACTAGCACGGGCATGGCTTGTAGGAGTCTAGAATAGAACTCAGCGATTCGGTAGAACAACGCTGAGGTGTACAAAAATGAACAAGCGGAGACTATGTATCAGGTGTTATGTAACGATCAGTGGCTTGTGATGCGGACACGCTGAACTGTATAGTACCAAGACATATCAATAAGGTGACGACGGTGCAGTATATAGCAAGATGATATAACGGAGAAATAGAAGATGGAATAGAAGATGCTAACACACCCCCTCACCTAGACACCAATTGTAGCCCGGTGACGTGTTTCAGAAATAATGGACGTGGGAGTGCCTTAGTGAGGATATCCGCCGTGTTTTTGTGGGAGGGGAGCCACTCAGGCAAGAAGGTGCCGCGTTCGATGTGCCCTCGGATGAAATGGTAGCGCACATCTATGTGCTTGGAGCGTATGTGATTCTTGGCTTCCTTTGACAAGGCGATAGCGCCAGTGTTGTCGATATGGATGATGATGGGAGTGGAGAGGGGAATGCGCAGCTCGTTGAACATTGAACGTAACCATAGTCCCTCTTGAATCACATGCGTTATTGCCATGTATTCGGCCTCAGTTGAAGATAGGGCGTGCGTAACCTGCTTTTTCGAAGCGTGAGTGATAATACCTCCCGCATAAAACCACGCGTATCCTGAGATGGATAGTCTGTCCTCGGGGGCACTTGCCCAGTCCGCGTCACAGAAGGCGTGTAGCGGTTCGTCTACACGGTCCCCACCATAGCTCATGCGAAGGTTAAGAGTTCCGGCTAGATACCGAAGAAGTCGTTTGGCAGCGGCATAATGCGCTGGGGAAGGGTTGGAATTGTGCTGCGCAAGCGCGTTGACAGCGAAAGATATGTCTGGCCGGGTGCATATGGCCAGGTACAATAGCTCCCCAACCAGTTTGCGAAACTGACTGGGGAGGTTCGGGATGATGTCGTATGTGTCGTTGGGGCGCCCAAACGGGTGGTTGGCGTCGAGTGGGAGAGTGACTGGATTGCAGTCGAGCATCTGGTATTCGTCGAGTAAATAGGATATGTACTGGCCTTGATGTAGCCATAAACGACGTGCCACTCGGTTGCGTTCGAACTGAATACCAAGAAACTTGTCGACGGCCCCAAGGTCCGTGATTCCGAAGCGTTTGTCGATGGCGTTCTTCACCCGGGTTAAGAAAGGACGGGAGTTGGAGGTACCGAGTCCATCGTCCACGTGAAACCCCACGATGCAGAGGATGCGAATTGCAGTCGCGCTGTCAATGCGATCGTAAGTGAACACCGCGTGATCGACTGCACACCGTGTAAAGCCCAGCTCCTCCATGATGGCACGTACTTGCTCGTACCATTCCATCGCGGACTGTTTGAGTCCGTAGATGGTACGGAGCATGAGCCAAACAATCACCTTCCAATCGCCCTCTTCGAACCCCTTGGGTTGCTGCATGTAAATCTCCTCTTTCAACACTCCCCACAGAAACGCCCTTCTGGCGTCGAAGCTGTCGAGCTCCCAATCGTTCTTGCATGCGAGTGCCGCTATGAGCCGTACGGACGATGTCTTGAGTACCGGCACGAAAGTAGCGCCATAGTCCACCCCCGGGATCTGAGAGAACCCTTGGGCTACCAGCCTGGCCTTGAAGATGGGGCCACCCTTGTTGTCGTCTTTGAATTCCAAGACCCATCTGTTGCCGATGGCCTTTCGTCCAGCTGGAAGGGTTGTGAGCTTGTAGACCGTCATTTCCTTCATTATGCCTAACTCCTTCTTCATAGCGGCAAGCCACTGTTCGCGATCGGGGCGGAGCATTGCTTCATCGTACGTTGCAGGCGGGATTCGCATATCGTAGTCGACGCTGGCTGGATTGCGCTTCCTGTCGCTGCGGATGGTGATGTTGGACTGTTCCTCGATGACGACGTTGGCGAAAACCTCGGGTATGTCGACATTTGGCTCTATTGCTGACAGGTCTTCAGCTTCGTCCTCTGGGATGGAGGCACCCGGGATTGCAGGCACCCCCGTGCTCGGGACGTGCACCCCCTCAGTAATGCGCTGTGTAAGAGCACTACGGCGAGCCCTGGCAGCCGCCATACTGTCAGCAAATGCCTGACCAGCGCTGGTGAGCATGCGAGTGCGTGAGGAACGACGGGGTTCAGCAGGCGCTGGAGGAGCGAGGGATGGAGCTGGAACGACAGCGGGAGGAGTTTCAGATGGGGGAGGTGTGGGTGGGACAGCAGCAGTAGTGTCGTCCTCGGAGTCAGACGCATCCGTTGGAGCAAGTGGGGTTTCGTCGAAGATGACATCTCGCGCTACGAAGAATGTGCCAGTTAGTCTGTCACGAAGTCGATAACCCTTCGTTCCCTCAGGATATCCCACAAATGTGGCCTGCCGCGAATGCGGCCCCAACTTGACCTGCAATTCAGCGGGGATGCGCGCAAAGCAGCGCACCCCAAAAACGCGCAAATGGGAGAGATCTGGTTTCCTCCCATTGACCATTTCGAATGGCGTCATTCCCAAGGGGAGGGCACTTGACTCGCTGCGATTCCAAAGGTAGCATGCGGTCAGTGCAGCCTCACCCCAGAGACTACCTGCCCCCTCGAGCATGGCAAGCATGCGGCCCTCGATCGTGCGAATGGCCCTTTCAGCCTTGCCATTTTGT